ACCCAGCAAGAGATACCTTTTTCTTTTTTTTCTTTTTTTTTTTTTTTTGTTAAGACATGGTTATTTATTGATTTAGTTTGTCATTGATCATCCTTCAGTCCCCCATACCATATTAATTCCCTCAATGTTTTTTTTTATTAATTACACTTTATTCACTTTGTATTCCCCCATAAGCCCCTCTCTCTTCCCCTCTAATCCCACCCTCTCTCCCCAAGTCCACCGATAGGGGAGGTCCTCTTCTCCTTCCTTCTGATCTTAATCTATCAGATCACATCAGGAGTGGCTGCATTGCCATCTTCTGTGGCCTGGTAAGCTGTTCTCCTCTCAGGGGTAGGTGATCAAAGAGCAGGCCAATCAGATTATGTCAGAGACAGTCCCTCTTCCCATTACTATGTAACTCACTTGAACACTAAACTGCCATGGACTATATCTGTGCAGGGGTTCTAGGTTATCTCCATGCATGGTACTTGGTTGGAGTATGAGTCTCTGGGAAGACCCCTGTGTTCAAATTTTCTGGTTCTGTTGCTCTCCTTGTATGGTTCCTGTCCTCTCCAGATCTTACTATTTCCCACTTCTTACATAAGATTCCATGCACTCTGCCCAACAGTTGGCCATAAGTCTCAGCATATGCTTTGACAGTCTGCAGGGCAGAGCAGTTCAGAGGCCCTCTGTGGCATAGAAACAGAATGGTGGATCAATGGAACCGAACAGAAGACCCAGAAATAAACCCATATACTTATGGACACCTGATCTTTGACAGAGATGCCAAAACCATACAATGGAAAAAAAGATAGCATCTTCAACAAATGGTGCTGGTCTAACTGGATGTCTACATGCAGAAAAATGCAAATAGATCCATACTTATCACTCTGCACAAAACTGACGTCCAAGTGGATCAAAGACCTCAACATAAAACCAGACACATTAAATCAGTTAGAAGAAAAAGTGGGGAATACCCTTGAACTCATTGGCACAGGAGACAACTTCTTGAACAGAACACCAACAGCACAGGCTATAAGAGCAACAATCAATTAATGGAACTTCATGAAATTGAAAAGCTTCTGTAAAGCAAAGGACACTGTCATCAGAACAAAACGACAGCCTACAGACTGGGAAAGAATCTTCACCAACCCTTAATCTGACAGAGGGCTAATATCCAATATATATAAAGAACTAGAGATACCTTTTTCAATACAAACTGGGATACAGATTTCCTTAATACTTCCTGTGATGTTGGCAATCTGAATTGCATCTTACATGCGTTTCTTTTTTGCAAATGACTTGGATTTCACAAGGATGTTAACAGTCCTTGGCACCATGAAAAAAAGCTAGACAACAGTCTAAAGAATTTAGCTTTTAATGGATATAGTAACTGCACCACATACCTTAACAGGTTTTCCAGCTAAACAGCAGTCATGACACTTGCTACAGTCTAGTACATTCTATAGTTTATATGCTCTACCCATTTAAGCAGGATCACGACACTTCAATTTAAACTCAAGCTTTTGAGAATGTAGCACATCTCTTAGTTGTGGTTTAATCATTGTTGGCCACCTCTTTGTATTCCATCCCTGTAGTCAAAAGCCAACTTCAGAAAATTCACAGAACCTAAAATGAGGCTAAGATACACACAGTCTCCAAAATGTCCTAAATGCCTTCTTCAAAGACAACTGTCCAACAATGTATTCCTTTCAGTTCTACTTGTGATAAAATCAATAATATATTCTGATTAATTCCATTTGTGATACAATCAAAATTTTATGATTTTTGACTTCAACAAAGTACTTAAAATTGAATAGAGGAAAGGTTAACCTCTCCTGAAAAAATCATTTGCCTAAGGCAACTCATCAGTGTTGTCTCTGATAAACTCAAATTTACTGGAAGAAAACCATGGCTTGGATTAGTAGGGAGGTGGAAGGAGAATGAGAAAATTCAGGGCACATACATTTCTGTGATGGTCTCGGGCAGATTTGTGGGGATCTCAGTGAGTCCTTTCCCTCGGCAGTCTACAATATTGTTGCTACAAGTACAAGCAGCAGGACAGTGCAAAACACTGCAGGAGGGAGCCATGAATGACTGGTGACCTGAAGGAGAAAACAACAGCAGTTAGATTCTCCTCTTGAATTTCACAATAGAGAGACATGCAGACTGTGCTCAGTTAAGAACGCAGGAGACACAGATCAAGTTCTCTCACATTTGTTCATTAAATAAGCATCCTTAGTATTTCGGGAATATATTTTGATAAGCATGCACATGTATCTTAAACTTTTAATAAATTGTCATAAAATTTATAACTGTTTTAGACTTTGAAAAAAGATTAGTAAAACTAAGTTCAGATCCTAGACCAGAATTCTATTCAAAATAATATGATTTCCAGAAGAGCAGCTATTTCAGAAGAATATATATCATTTCTAATAGACTTTAATGGAGTTTGGTTTTAATCAAACCAATGTATCATAATTTGTGTTGTCTCTGAAAAAAAGAGAAAAGAAAAAAATACACAGGACTTCAAACTTGGTTGACATAACTGTTGCTCAAATTAAGTTGTTCTATGCCAACAAATGCACGAGAAAACTAGATAATAAAAGTTTGATGTCTGGATAGAGTCAAAATTGCTGCTTTCTTTGAAGTTATTATAGTAATTTGTGGGATATCATTATGTAATTGTTTATCCAAATGATTCTTTTTAGGGCTTCATCTGATAGAAAACTTTTGCTATAAGCAGTCACCTGCAGATGAGTAATTTCCCACTCAGTATTTAAAAACAAAAGTATTCTGAAATCAGGTTTGACTATCTGAGTAATGAAAACCAGAACCTCATCAGCCAGGCCTCATCAAACAGGAGCCTGCTTAGCAATGGTTTCTGGAGAAAATCAGCACAGCTCCATGGGATGTCCTGAGAAGAGTCCCATCCAATGGAAGTCATGGCAGGAATAGGCTATGGGCTAGCTGCTAAACCCATCCCTCCAAACAAGCTCTCAAACTGCAACAATAGTCTAGGTCTAAAAATTGTGGGGAGGGAGAAGACATAAAAAAAATATATAAACTTGCCTTCTTCCTCATCTAGGAGGCAGCAAGGAAAAGCAAAAGGAGGAAAAAAAAAGATGGTTAGTAGAGAACTGTTAGTCAATTGTTTGGATTTTAAAAAAGCAAACAGACAGAATACTCATAGCATTATAAGAGAACTGGGATTAGATTACAAAGTGTGGGAAATACAGATAAATACCTGAAAGACCGCTTTAAATGCCCAGTGTGAGCTAGTAATTTTTCCCCACTCATTTGAAAATGTTAACTGTTTTCAGATTCCTCCCTTGGTAAACTTGGGTAAAGAGGGGATCTCCACAGCTACCAGGACAAATGGCCGTACAAGGACCATATATAAAATGGGATTCTATTTGGATATAGCATATGCAAATCAACCATATACTGCTAAGTTAAAATTATATACAAATATTTGTTATATTATTGCATTGCTTAAAGATTAAAGATGAGAAAATGATGGTAAAGTTTGAGTACTTATCATTTATTTTACAAATGTTTTGATCTGAGGTTGTTTGATTCTGTATCTGTATAATCCCTAAATATGAAGAGCCAATTATATAACGGTCTCAAACTTTGTGTGCAGCACAGTAATGGAGCACAGTTAAAAAGCTCTTGTCAAGATATACAAGGACCTGGTTTTGATTTCCATTACCATTAAAAATGTATGTATTCTGTCATGTTTTTTTTAGCATATACTTGTATAGTTCTTTATTTAAAAAATGGTAATTTGGGTAACAGTGTAACTGAGAAATACATTTAATAGCACTAAACAAATCTACATAAAATACATAATTTCATTAAGGTGCAACTGAAACATTTGAAATGGCACATATGTCAAATTCATACTGCCCTATTTTAAAAGACAGTTGTTAAAAAATTTAAGGTGTCCAAAGCCATTAAGGGCTAGACTCAGAACCAAAAATATAAGTGTTCGGTTATATTTTAAACAATTGTTCTGAAGCAGACCTAGCCATATATTCATAAAATATATAGTCATATATGTGTATTCATTTATGTGTGTATATGTGCAGGCATATGTAGACATACAGAATATGCTGAGATCATTGAACTTGACCACATAATATTAGAAAAGCTTATTATTTTTCACTGTACTTTAGTCTCCAATATAGACATTAATTTAAACTATTCATATAGTGGTTTTAAGGGAGGTGACATCTGGCAGCCATATGTGAGATATCTAGATTAGTGTTTAGACATAAAGTACGCAACAAATGTGAGTTACTGATAAATTTGGCTTGCACACCTTTTGGCATTTAAGATATTTAAATATTTATTTAAGTAGAATTGAATCATTAACGGTATATATTTATAAAGAGTTATCTCAATATTTTATAGCTACAGTTGAGTTATAATGAATTTTATAGCAAGTATCAGGGATTATCTATTCATTTTCACTAGCTAGTCAAAAGGTAGATAATAATTGTTAATAAAAGAGAAAATAACAATTTGCAAGTATTGCTACAATCTAGGAATTTCCTTTATTCCCTTGGGATGCAAATGAAAGTATTTTACATACATGTAATCAGTAATTACCCTACTAGGTACAAACATGCTAGATCTAGATTCTAGGTACAAACATCCTAGAATCAATCATCCTTTTCAGTGCGAAAGCAGGTCTCCATGCCTGTGTGTTCAAATCTTAACCTTCGAAGTTCGAATGCCTCACATAGCAGTGTAAACAAAAGCACTGTAACCTCACTGATCTTACCACTGCAGACAAACTCTCGTTTTTGAACCTCTGCTACATTGTGACCCCTCAGGTGGGATGGGCCCATACACTGGGTGTATAAGCCCACCCTAGGCCTTTGGCGAAGCCAGTCCGAGAGCCAGGCCAGGTGGCAGTCGCAGTACAGGTTGTTTGAGTGGAGTCGGCTAAAGGAAAGAGAGGAGTTCAAAGTAGAAAACAGGAGAAGGTTAATTGAAACTTTGTAAATATATATATATATATACACATACACACACCTACACACACACACACACACAGATATATATATATACTTTTTAATCAATACAAATGCAAACACATCTTAGGGACTTCCTATACAGTTATTTCTCAGATAATTAGACTGGTCAACAAACATGAGTCAATTCCTTTATTGAGCTGAGCAAACAGACAGAAATAGAACCATTACATTATTTTGCCTATATTCATTCAAAAGAGTAACAAGAAAAAGAAAGAAAGAAAAAAAAAAAAAAAACAGCTCAGGGAAAATTATCCTTGAGCCCCAACATAATGAGAGACAACGGAGGTAGTTCCAGAGCTGCGGATATGAAGTATGATGAAGGGGGAGTATTTACAACAGAAGTGGCTTACAGGTCAAATATCAGCAAAGTTCCCCCCATTTCTATAGCAACCACTTACAAAGTCTTTTTAGCATGGCACTATTTCACTAAATAAGACAGAATAATAATTCAGTATAAGACAGTATGTTTTAACATACCACTTGTAATTTCTTCTTTACTCCCTCCTTCCCTCCTTCCCTCTCTCCCTGCCTCCCTCCTCCTTTCTCTCTCTGCCTCCCTCCTTCCCTGCCTCTCTGTGACTTTGACTCTATGTCTCCCTGTCTCTTGTCTGTGTCTCTGTGTCTCCATCTCTCTGTCTCTTTCTCTTTCTGCATCTCTCCCTATTCCTCTCCTAGGAAAGGATTAAGCTGAATTTGACTCTTAAGGTCTAGCTACAAAGAGCAAAGAGTAAAATTAAAAGGCTGGCATGACAGGGAAGGGATTAAGTGAGTCCCCTTTATGTTGCAAGGATCTGTGCAAGATCATGGATTCCATCCAAATTGCAAATACTATGTCGCCATTAATAAAATATCGAGCAAATGTATTCACTCAATTAGGTAAATGACTTTTTATGTTTTCTCAAACTAAGGAAAGTGACGTCTAATGCTATAAATCAAAGCATCATTCCTCGAATTGTCTATGACACAGTGAAACCATTTTAGCCCTTTTAGCTGATGTGTTCAATTCTAACCCAATAATGATAATGGATAGTAAAACACAGAACTCAGACTAGAAAGATAATCAGAGTATAAAAATGGAATTTTTAAGTACCAATAATGTTATAGAAAAAAATGAGCTAACTAAAAGGGAGGAAATTTAAAGTTAAATGATGGCTTTATTCTCCTTGAATCTATGGATAAGAACCAGCATCAAAACTATAAGGAATACTCTGAGGTCATATATTAGATTCTGGCAAAATTGAGTGACCTTGGTTTACTCAGTTTCTGAGAATTTGAAACATTGCCTTTGGTAGCCTCTGGTACCTCCGCCATAATCCTTTCCAAATATTTCCATCTAAACCCAGTCTGTTACCAGGTCCACATCAAATATAGAATGAGGAAAACATACAAAGCATTTGGAAGCTTATTTGGAAGACAAAATAACATATGACTAACAGCAGATAAAGACACTAAAATTCAGTGATTGATTGCTTTACACTTTTAGCTGATTTATATTTTTAGGAATTAAAATAATGATCATTTCTTTTCCTATATATTATATAAAGTTAATATAAAACTGATTTTGTCAAATATGGTTTGAATATATGAGGCTACTAATTACCTTATTCTCATAGGGAAGTATAACTTAGTTATTGAATTAGAATTGTCTAGTAAGGGGAGCAGTCCCTGATATGAACTTGGTTGCCTGCCCCTGGTGGGATGGCCTTACTAGGCCACAGAGGAAGGGTATCCAGGTAATTCTGAAGAGACCTGATAGGCTAGGGACACAGGAGAGGAGGACTTCCCCTATCAGTGGACCAGGGAAGGGGCTAGGGATAGGAGGGAGGGAGACATGGAGAAGATGAGGGAGGGAGCTACAACTGGGATATAAAGTGAATAATTGTAAAAATAATAATAATAAAATAATAAATAAAATAAAATATTAAAGTTAAACATCTACACATTGGGATTTAATGATTAATTTTTTCTCAGAGAGAAAAATAGCTGTAGCTCATACTGTATTTCACAAAAATAGCTTAATGAGTGTGTGTAACTCTGGAAAGATATTTCTAAATATAAATGCTGACACAGCTTTAATTATGCAAGCACCGGTGGGTGATGCCCTGACTTCACATTACAGAGAACGCTGGCGCACGATTTAGCTGTATTAGGTGTGCTTCTAATACAGTAATAAAATCACAAAGATTTCCCATTTATCATATCTGACAACCAATCAAGGAGTCTTCCACTTCTTAATGAAATGTGACCTCTACAATAGCTCAAAGTAAATGTTTTATTTTACTGCAAACTTCCTGCAATGCATGTCATTTGTAAGGAAGCCTTCAAGTTTTCAGAGGAACAGTTCATTTTCTAAAATAGCATTTTTAGTGTTCTTAAGTTTTGCTTTCCTCATCTACGCCACAATGAACGAGTGGCCCTATAGTCTGCTCATTAAACCTTAGCAAAGAAACAGCTTTAATTAATTAAATATATCTTTCTGTACATTTTTACTACTTACAATGTCCTAAGTTTAGGCATATGGTTGAAACTTGCCACTGACAGTCTAGTAATATTGTTATTGTTCAGGGTGCTGTAGAATAAAAAGAAAGTTAAAAAATTTAGTTAGATAAGAAAGATTATTAGTCATTTTACATTAACATCAAAACTTCTCATGACTCAATTAAAACAAACAGCTAACTTACTAATAGAGAAGACATAGAGATTTCACTGTTTTGGAGAAAAGATGATGTCTAACTCGTATTTCAGTAAATTACTACGCATTCTGTTTTATCTAACACTTGTTATCCATGTACGGCTAAGGTCAGAACATTTCTACTGTATGATACTACTGCATGCCAGCCTGCTTACCCTAGAGTGTCACTAGGAAAACTGCACTTTACATTTTTCTGTTTAATTAGTGCCGATCAAATTTATGTTTTTGAAATTTCATACTAACAACATACAGTCATTACCACAGAGGACTACTTAATTACACCTAGCTGTGGACAATAGCTATTCCTGATGTTTGGGTCCAAAACCATGCACCAATATTTTCATCGTTTTAGGGTGAAGTGGCTAGCTCTGGAAGCAAATTCAACCTTCAGCATAGTCTGATTTAGTCATAGCATGGAATGCTGCCCTTTGTGTAATTCTGTTGCGTCACAGTATCCATCACTTTATCTTAAGGTAGAGCCAGGAAAACGGGTGGTCGAAGTTGTTTTGGTAAAAAGGTGTAAGTCTTGCTTTCGTCAGATTGCTCTTCCTTAATGTAAGTCATTTAAAATTAATTGTTATTATTTTGAAGATGGGAAAGAAAGTCAATTGAAAGAGAATTTCTTTGAGAATTAAAACATCAAACATCAGGATGTACTGTGATGGCATTTGCAAAGTAGTTTATGCTGCTTGAACATAAATAAATGCTGCATTTTAGACACAATGAGGCGGTGGATTCAATGATTTATAAATGTACATAAGTTGTGAATTCTTTCTATGTGTTTTTAATTCACTAGGTAAATTATTCTATTGGTGAATACCATTCAAATCTGGGTGGCAAAGAGAGTCAGTAAGGGTTTTAGGTCTGCAGCTGAGGTGACCAACTTAACTGAGAAGTCAATTCCCGACCCCCAGAAAATGCTCTGTACTGCCATCAGTTACAACCAGTGACGGTTTGCCTTAAGAGGGTTTGCAAATGTACTATGTCTAATTCAAACACAGATGGATCACAGAATAAAAGAGATGAATTAATTACTAGCATTAAAAAAAAAAGGCAAAGAGATTGACATAAAAATTCCTAGTTCAAGGATCCTGGGAAAGTCAGATTGTTTGGTTGTCTTCCATAGTACCAGGGTAACAAACAACGAACAGTAGGTAAGACAACACAGATTATCATGTCTAGTTTACTAGAGCTCACTGTCCTTCACTCAATCTGTTTTTTTTTTTTTTCAAAAGATGAAGGTTTTATTGAAGATATTTTAATACAGCCTTCACCATGGTGACAGGAGGAAATAATAGGTGCTCAAAAGAAAAGAAAAGATGCACTTAGGTGTGCCTACAAACTCCACAGGGGAGAGTCCTGTCTCTTTGTGTCTGTCCTTTTTTCTTGCCCATTCCATTTTTTTTGTCTACTCAACTCATTTATTCTATTTGTACAACCTCCATAGACTGTTTAGTCTAAAATCCCCATTGCAAGTTCTTCATGAGGATCAAACATCATGCACACGGACTGCCCATATATCTCTGTTGCACGGGCTGAAACCTGTCGATCTTCTTTCTCACTCATACTCTCATCAGATAAACTGTAGTTCTATTGCTTTCACATCGCACCCAGAGTACTTCACAAACAACAGCAACAACAAATTGCTCTTACTAATCCTAAGTACTTTCCATTTGTCTAACTCATCTTTACAGTTGCAACAGTTTCAAAAAGGGTCTTGATTTTAACTGACATCTTTTCCGGCTCTCAAAATTTAGGCCTTCTCAAGCCTAACAAAAATCTTTGAGGGTACAGGGAATTTGATTTAGGGATGTCTTTTATGAATACTTTCTCCTGCCTATAAGCTAATTTATGCTTTTCATCTTCAAAGTTTGCTTGTTGTTACAGGACGATATTTTATAGAAAAGGATAGATTGATATGAAGTACAAAAAGTTATCCTTGAAATGATGAAGTGTATATTAGGGCTTTGGTGATGATGGTTTAGTTGCTCTTGTGCCTTAGTGCAAAGCAAGAGTAGGACTTGGCAGAAAGTCTGATATTTAACGCACATGACGCACTATGCTGCCATTTAATTAAATTATGCCTATACTGCAGGCAAGAAAAATATATGCAAAACTAGCAATTTCATTCCGGTGCCCAATGTCTAAATAAGAAAAAAAAAAGGTTCATATGGATAAATTTAGTTTTCAATATCACTGAGACTGTTTATTCATAATAAGAAAACACATAGTTAATTTTATATTCTGTCAACCAGAATTCCACAGGAGCACAGTTTACCATGAGCGATAAACTGACTCTACTCTCATCTATGCTTTTCTCTTGGCATTACAGACTTCAGTAACTATCTAAAAACCTTTATCTAGACATTTTATCAATGATTAGCATGATTACGTGATATTTTCTTGTTTGTTCTCAATGTTGTCAGATAATCAAATATGCTCATGGAATAAAAATAATATGCAAATGGAAACGCTGGGAATCTGGAATCCCAGATGAGGACTATGTCACTCTTCTTCCATTTTTTTTTCACCTGAGGTCATAAGATAAGAACCCATAGGGTAAGAATTCTGCCAACCTTCTTTCAAGAACACTGCTTAACATAGGTCTACTTGGTAACTCCATCTTTGCAAAGTTTTTTTCTTTTATTCACAAAATTATGGAAAATGTTTAAAATATATTAAATTTATTACCTTTAAAAATGTACATAGCAACATTACCCTCACAACATCAAAAACTTTTACAGTAAAACATTTAAATATTTTTAAAAGACGCCCACATTTTATAATAATGTATAATTTAAATTATTTTCATCTGTACATAGGCTCTAATCATTATGTATCCCTCTGAGATGAAATTAGGAGTCTCATCTCAAAGTTTTAGACATTTATTTCATTTCATGAATTATCATTTTTTAACAAGTTGCACAGTAACAGTTCCTACAAATGTCAATGTTTAGAAATTCTACCACCATGAAAGTTTCAATAGGAAAAGTGACTGTATTTCTAAAATAATTCTGATTTAAGTGAATACAAAGTTTCTCTCTTTCTCTCTCGCTCCCCCCCACACACAAATAAAATGTTTCTATGTGTGGCACTGATACTTGATCTCTGTAGTGAACTCTCTCAACTCCCCTGACCTCACCTCTACACACAGCACATAGGTTAAAAAGTGGCTTTAAAGTTAAGTGTACATAAGCATTTTTACTGTCTTTCCAACAGAAAAGGGTTTTTTTCCCCCAATAGCAATAAAGGTGACGTTCTTGTACAGAACAATTTACATGAGTAACATTTGAAATTTATTTTTATCAACTCTTTAAAATAACAACTGAGATCGAGGGACAGGTAGAAACTCCTCTTTAACTATCATAAAGAAATGAATTATCATTTTTAATAAGATAACATTACTAAAATAAGCTATCTCGGTTGAAAGTGTATTCCTCTTCATAATATATTCTTTCAGAGGCTCAAAAATCCTCAGTTAGCCCCTCCATTTTTTTCATGGGGTTTAGACTATAGAATTTCTGTACAACTTTTAAGAAATTGGTGAGAAATTCAAAACCGTTTCACATTCATCACAATGTCAGACTTATGACTGGGTTATGAATAAAAATAAAGCACAGAAAAATCTTTTTACTCAAGGAGAATAGTAGTGAAGGTTCTGAAATGGATCTCCTCCTTGGCTCATTCAAATTAAGAATTCAATTTTAAAATAAACAAACAACAATGAAGTTGATTTACATTGTCATGAAAAACTGCATGATTAAATAAAAACACCTTTACATACCAACAACAAACTATATCAGTAAAGACAGGGTTGATTTTGGTTTTATTGTCTTAAAATTTAGGAATTTGTGAACTTCTGATAGAACGACCAATACTATGATGACATTTTATTGAAAAAGAAAAAAACACAGATCTTTCGAGTGTTCTTGAATACAGAATGTCCACATTAAAACATATGCATGGTTTTGCCCATACACATCCTGACTCTTCTGTGTATTTACAAGTCTCTCAAGGTGTATTTTTTGTTAGGAGAACATTTTGACATGCTACTGTTAGACGGTGGGTAAGACCTCACATTATCACTCTCTAGAAACAATGCTCCCAGAAAAAGAGTGAGAGAATTAGCAATACTCACAGTACTTCCAGATCTCTCAGTGCTCTAAATGCCCCGTCTTCAATGCAGCTGATCTGGTTGTAATCCAGTTGCCTGTAAAACGGATTAAAAGACTCCACATAACAGAAACGAACAGAAACAGAGTGTAGGAGAACTGAAGACTTCTGAAGGGGCACTGGAGCTCTGGCCACACTTCCTGAAATGCTCTCTCTCCCACACTCATCTGCTTCAGAATGTCACAAGCCACTCTGCCCTCTCTGTGCAGCTACTGAAATCTCTTTTTGTTCTGAACTGTCTGTGCAAATAGCAGCTCTTGGAAAGCTCCAGTAAATAATAACTGCACCTTATATTAAATGCCATAGGAATGCAATTTCATTACATCAAGAAAAGCTATCCATTAAGAGCTTTCAGCGTCATCTTGCTGAAACAATTTCATTAAGGTAAAGGGCTGTAAATCACTTAATGTCACAGGCACCCCTCAGTGACCTAACTGAATCCATTTATCAGAGAAGCCCAGCTGCATGTTAATTTCACTATCCTTGGCAAGAAGGACTAAGACTACTTTCAGGTTTCCATCTTTTAAAGGCAGTTTTCTTTGCAGACTCCAAATGGGGAAAACAAGAAACTTTCTTGAAAACAAGAAATGATGCCATGCTTCTCCCCGTTATCCTCAACCAAGAACAAAATTAGCCAGCCTGCAATTGCCATAAAACCACCCATCACTCCTCTCCAATGTTGCCTTTATTATTACATGCAGATCCCTTGCAATTTTATTCCAGATTTTCTCGAGATAAGATACTTCCAGGATGTGATTCTCCAGGAAAATAATTTGTTCAATATTAGGAAATGATTTCATTAAAACTTAAGTGAAACCATGGGTATTTTTCTCTAAGATGACAATTTTAGCCCCTAACAATAAAAAATAATCAACTGTATGTTTCACTGCAATATCATATAGAGTATGAAAATAATTTCACCTGTTATTTAAGTCCATTAAATAATATATAATGCAAAGAAATAACTCTTCATCAGTGCCTTAAGTATTGAATATAAACATTCAGTAGCAGAAGAAATAAAACTGATGCTTCAAAGTTGGTTAAGTTTATTATTATTTTTGGATGTTTGTATTTGAAATAAAAAAAATCTTACTGCTCATGTTAAGAAATTGATTTTTGAGCTGGGGGGCAACGAGACAGAGGGATCTGGAAGGAAAGGTGGATGGGAAAACTGTGGTAAGCATGTTCTATATGAGAGAAGAATATATTTTCAATAATTAAAAAGGAAGTTGTTTACTTTCTTGTAATAAAGAACTGTCTACATTTGACTCCTATTTCCAGCAATCAGTTTTGACACTGATACCTTGTTGCTTAGAGACATTATTGTTCCAATAGAGAAAATGTATTTTAATGCTTCAGTTGAGAAAGAAATGACTCGTTAGCCCTCCATGATTGCTCTGGGAATGTGGCTGGATAAGGGTGGGATTACAATTGTCATACAAATGCATCTTGTCCTTGTTTCACATCCAGAATTCACCAAGAGGCGTAATTCACATTTGAGGACCTCTCTTAAAGAACTGTTTCAACATTCCATAAAACAGCTGGTTTTTGCACATAGCTACTGAATAGGTGACTTTCAGAGATGTCTCTTTAGATCAACTGCTTAGAAAGTATAGACATTGCGATTAGCTCATGAACACTATATTTAATTTTTTAAAAATATTCCAAGGGACACAATTATAGAACTTAATGCAATGCAAATAATACAATATAGGTTAATATGAAGGCAGGCCCATCCTGTGAAAGATTGTTTTGTTGCATTTATAAACCTTAGCTTTTCTTCAATACTAGCCAGGACTCTTGCTACTGTAATAGTTGAAAGCTTTTCCCACTTATTAGGAAGTAATGCAGAAGTATAATTTCATTTTCCAGGAAGACATTTAAAGCCTCATGATATAATATGGCTTCTGTGGTTCCAAGAAAACACTTAGATCTTTGAGCACTTTTGATTTTTAAAGATTAAATTCATTTAACAATTAACTTAATAGCCTTTTTATTTCAAAGTGCTAAATATATATCTATACTACTATTCTCTAACCTCTTGAACAATTTATCAAAGCCATTTAAATTAGTACAGTGGCATGAAGTGTTACCCTTGACATGCTACAAAAGAGAAATTGTTTCCAGACAAATTGGCAAAATCTTTTAATGCTATCAAATTTGCCTAATGCAGTCTTCAGGTTAATCTGTGAAAGGGTGAGCTGTATGTTTGCCCATATCTTATTATCCTTAGCTGTCAATGTATAAATCAGCGCTGACACAGCTTCTTCTAAATCATGCATACAATGCACAAAGGGAAATCTGGAGCATGCCAGAAAGCACTCAGGCGAATCTTGTTCTACAAGGACTGAAAGACCCATCATATTCCTTATGCCAGAATTTGCACTATTGCTGGAAACTTAATCAGTTGGACTTCTTGTTTAAATTGTGTGTGGTACAAGTTGCTCTTGACAGATATATGTGTGTATAATATATATACATATATATTTACCATATATATAATATATAATGGTAAAGATATTAGGAATGTTTGAGGTTCATGAAATATAAGTTTTTTCTTAAACTTTTTATAAAGGTTACCAAATCTCAGATCACATATTTCCTAAGAGTGATCATACTTCATAAAGTCATGAGAAAGAAAACATAAGCAAAAGCAAATGGGTGAATAATTTGTTCATCAATTGTGAATTTTGTGATATTCAAGTGAGAGGCTGCAGAAAACCTTGTCTTGCATGACTGCTCATGAGGGAATTTATCTGTGTTGAATTCCATTTGCCTGTAAGGTTTAAAATAAACAGTGTCAAAACTGTGCAAAAGCATAATTTATTTTAGAGTTCCTGGATTCTTTTCCTGCGCCTTGGTTCTCTCTCTCTGCTCATATCCTTCTCAAGTGCCCTTCAAGCCCTGGGTGCGTGTGCCTTCTGTGTCTTCTGTAAACAAAAAAGGTTCTGGTCTTGCACTTCGGAAAGGCTGTTTTTCCTTAGATGTGATTTCCACTTGGATCATAGAACTGTTATGATTAAGAAACACACACACTCATTTTTTAACTCTCTAAAAGCTAATGTTTCAATTAATCATTTAGTAAAAAAAATTGTCTTTAAAGAGTTTAAATGAGACATTAGGAGAGTAGGGAATATTTTCTTCTGCTTTCATTGTTCATGAGTTACTTTTCCGCCATACGGAGATTTTCTAATTTATTTAAAGAAAGAACCCTATGGTTTTCCTAGACCTTGAGTCAGCCTGGATTACCATGGGTTTCTGTGTCTTCTGTTTCTGTGTCTTTAAAATGTCTATTTTGTAACATTCACTTTGCCTCTGTTCTGCTATGAAATCTCCTCTTCTGTTGCTACATCACTGTCCTAATTTGTGGGTTTTTGTTTGAAAGCACTGCATGATTTCATGCAAATAGAGAATGAAAGGATTATCATCCTCATCCTCATCCTCATCCTCATCGCATTAAGCCTCTTACAATTCTCATTTCGGTAGTGAACAAAGATCCACTAATATTCCAGAAGTCCCAGGGTTCCCATGTTGATGGTTCCTAGTTTGGGTGGCTGTAGTCCCAGGCTCCACCATTTGCCAGTAGACTCGTACATTGAGAAGAACATTTTGTGACTCATACATAGAAAATATGAAGCTGATGTGCTATTATTTCACAGTAAACAGTCGCTGGGTGTAATTGATGGAAACAATACATAATGTTTGTACCTTTGTCTATAATATATAGTACCTTTGTACCTTTGTCTATAATATATAATATATATACTATATATAATGTATAGTAAATACAAAAAGTTAAACGAAATCCAAGTAGAGATACTGGGTTATGTTTGTTTTCTTAAAAGATTTCCTATTTCCTTCCTTTAAAATTTAGCTACCATACTGTATTTTGACAAGATATATAAAACTTACTTCACAGTGTTAAATTTTGATGATTTCTATTTCTTTCCATATCAAACTTAAATTTTTGTTTCATGTAATACTGTTTAAATACTAATTGGCTTTCTTTCATAAGAATTAGAATATGTAAAATAAAGTCAACTGTGAAATTTCATAGAGCATTAAAATCCATAATAATGTGTGATCCAGGAAAGAAGTAGCAAGTTCTCCATGAAGTAGGACAATGTCCCCATTTTGTTGTATTTTTTTCATTTCAAGAGCTAGATATGATATGTTATTTATATTGCTATTATAATATAATTGGTTTTAATTTTAGACAATTTAAATTTTAGACAACTTAAAACATATTAATTTGCTCAGAATCAATAAAAGTAAAAGTATATTACAATGTAAAGAAACTTGATTGGGAAAAATAAGTCAACAGGGGAGAGAAAGAGAAAATGCTTTTAACATGGGCATAGCATCTCTCTGTAAGGGTAAATTTCAAGTCTATATAAATTTCTAAATATAAAAATCTCATGCCAACAATTATTTAAACCATATTTTATAATTTGAATATTGACAACATAAAATTACAAAAATGGCAAAGTTGGATCACATCAATAAACATCCTGAATAGTAATTTAAATTGCCATATGACTTCTCTCAGAACAAAGGCTCACCAGGCAGAACCAGAATGGAGCTAGATGATGAGGAAAAATCTATTAGGAGAAACTTGGGATTTTGCATTATCTGATATTTAATTTTTTTATAGTCTTTCAGGCAATGCTTTGTGTATTTCAGTAAAAAGTAACCTCAAATATCATTAGGATACACTATATTAAAAACCTGTATGGATTTTCTATTTAAGTGGAGAAAAAGAAAAGATTAGCCTAAAGATTAAAAAGAAATATTTTGTAACAGACAATAGTAGAAAACAACTAGAATGATATGTGACAAAAAAATTAACCAAAACGATTTGAAACTAGACTGATTGTGGTAGATATGCTTACACAGCGTGTGTTAGAGGCTGATTGTACGCAATCTCATTACCCCTCTCAGTAACTCGAGAAGGCAAGTATTACAAGCACCTCAATTTCATAGATGAAATAATTAGACTCAAAAATGCTGAGAACTTCTATGCAGTAAGTA